CTTTAATAGCCAATTTAGGAAATTTAATGATGGAGATAATATACATTGGGATACTTGCAATATAAGTCTAAAATCAAATTAGCTTCATAGTTAAGGAATTTGCCTATCCACACACAGATCTACTTTATGATTTTATCAACAATGGGTTGGGTGTCTTCCCTCCTTAATTTCAAGTAGTGCAAAGGGACCCCTAAGTATTTTAGAGGGAAAGCCCCAATTTTAACACAGAAGATTTGGGACAACAACTTAGAAGAAGAATCATCAAGATTAATTGTTAAAATATCTCATTTTTCATAATTAATCTTCATCTTAGATAACTAGTCAAAGCATGAGAGCAACCACTTCAAATTTTTAGCATAGGTAGGGTTATGATCAAGGAAAAGGATTGTATCATCAGCATATTGTAGACTAACTAGACTACCATGTATTACATAGGGAATAATCCCACATATAATGTTGTCTCTGACAGCTTTACCTAGCATCCTCGAATAAACATCAACCACAAGGTTGAAAAGCATTGGGGGAGAGTGGATCACCATGTTTCAACCCCCCACCCCCCAACAAAATAAGGACCATTTGTGCCATTAATCCTAATACATAAAGAGCTCTATTGAAGTATGAAAAGTATCCAACTTATCCATTTGTTACCAAAACCTCTAGTTTGAGAATGACCCCAGGTTTACTAGAATTACAAACCTCATGGGTACCTTCATGAGTTGTAACTAGACTTTCTAGAATGAATATGTCTCTGACAAAAACAGTTTGGTAAGGGGATAATAATCTTTGTCCAGGTCATGGCCTTACTAAAGATCTTAATAGAGCAATTTCTAAGGCTAATTGGCCTAAATTTCTTCATGTCTTTGGCATCAGGCTCCTTGGGATTTAAAGTAATGATAGCATAATTAAGACTCTGGATATCCAGGGAGCCCTCTTCAAAGTCCCTTACCAAAGCCATACAATCCTTTAATCAAATCCAAAAATTGTGATAAAATAGAAAAGATAGGCCATCAGGACAAGGAGCCCCACTTGCATATGAACCCAACATGGTCTCCTTAATCTCTTCCTTAGAAAAGGGTTTTTTTCTAAGTTGATATTCTCCTCCTCGGTAACTAAGTCCTCCTTAGACCAAAAATGGTCACCCATGTGTATATTGGGTTTAGGTTCATATCCAAATAGGTTTTCATAAAATTGGTGGCAACATCCAACATATATTTGGTGGAATAAACAGGGCCATCTGGAGTATTTAAAACAGAAAGATAGGTTTTCCTCCTATGTTGGTTTTCCACTACACGAAAATATGTAGTATTCTTGTCACCTTCCAAAAAAAATTCTATCTCTAGATCTCTGCCACATGGCCATCTCTTCCTTCTTCCAAATGTCAATCATTTCTTCTTTAATTTCTTTCATTATGAGGATATGTTTAGAGAAATCATATTTTTCAGAAAAAAAACATCAATAATATCAAATTCCTGGAGTAGATCTTTGTTTCTTCTTCTTCATAGCAACCTATAAATTGATACTCCATCCTCACACCTTTTGTTTGAATAGTTTAAGTTTAAATTGACAGGTGTCAATAACAGAAGTGAAAGGAGAAGGGGTGGTCCAAATTGTGTGCACAAGAGGAGCAAATTCTGGATGCCCAAGCCACCATTTCTCAAACCTAAATGTTTTGGTAGTAGGAGAAGGGGTTTTAAAAATGTTCATTTATTTGTATTTTATGTATATATGCACATATCATGTTAAGGTAAGAAGGAGAAAAGGCAAACACCTATGACCGATATTACCAAATATTTGAAAATGCAAGTTGAGACACAAAAGCACTTGCCAAAATTTAATAACGTAAGTGGAATAACCATAAGATCCCTACAGACAAAACATAGCTACTGTCTGCCACATCACATCCCCAAATCTGCTCCACATTTGTCAAAAATCACACAGACCTAAATCTAAGAAGATTCCAGATCTTCATACAATCATACCTCTAGTTTTAGCTGAAATCAGTGCAAACAAAGTTGAAGCCTGCAAAGATAAGAAAAACAAGTAATCAATTTAGAGAGAACACCCCGCAGACAAATGGGACTTTTCAATGATTCGAAGTAATATCAAAATATGTAAATTTTCTTCTAATAAGAGCTTCACTTGTAACATACTACCTTTGTCCAAGTTTATTAGGACCCCTTGTATTTTGGGTCAAAGTTTGACAATCTATAGGTATGACTTATATGCTACAAAAAGTATAACATTGGATTTGTATTCCAAAGAGGATTCCCACTACCATATAAATTTTATTATACTTTATATTTTATTAGTTAATTCTATGGTCATACTTTGACATTAAATACGAGGGGCTCAAATAAACCTGAACAGAAGGAGTACCCATTTATATCCAAATATGTAAAGTTTTTTGGTTATTTGCCATGTAAGGGCATGTTTAGAAGATCCCCTGAAAGCAATATTGTGGGAGGGGGCTTGTTTAGGGGATTAAACCCCATCTAGCAGATCCCCTAAAAAAATTAGTGCCTTAAAAATAGCTTTTGATCCTCCAAACATTGCCTCTCTAGCCCATTTTTGCTCTTGAAGTGAGCATTCTCAATAAAAATAGGGAGATTGCTCCCTTCCCGCATTCATGGCGTGGGGACTAGGACACCGGCCGATTGGCCTGCATTCGCTATTAAACCCAATGCCGCTACCCCCAAACACTAGCCCACCCTGCTGCACATCCATTTACGCCGCCACAACCCTCGATTCAGGCTGCTGCCACCTTCCTCGAACCTGAGGTCGCGGCCACCAATCGAGTCTCACCGCCTCCAACAGATCCCTTGTCGCCTCCCGCCGTCGTCACCACCACTCTGTGCATGGACCGCGCTTTCTTCCTCGACTCTGAAACCGTCACCTCCCTCTCTGTTGTGTGTCGTCTTCTCTGTCACTGCCACCTCCCCAACGCAACTCCAAGCCCCCGCGTTGTCTCCTCGAGCTCTGCCGCCGCTACCGCCGCTGAAGTACCACAACATTCGGCACCGACTGTGGGACAAGTTTGCGGTAGAGATCCGCAACGCCGACGCGGTGCGCCCGTGGCAACATCGGGGGACAATGATTCCCATCTCCTCCTCCGACTCGGACTTCTTCGACTACTGCAAGGACGGCGGCGAGTAGAGCTATCAGGTAGCTATTTCTATATGTTTTATCTCGATGCTTAACCTTGTTTGATGTCAATGTAGTGTTATGTAGCTAAAATGCCAAATGGAGACTGAGCTCCATGGAGGCCTTTATTTGAAAACTTTAAAATTCAAACTTTTCAGTTTCAAAAAATTCTGAAAATAAATACACATATACCAAGATACATAATGTATATGTGTGCAAATTTTCAGGTCTAAATACATTAAAATGTGATCCACACAAAAAATATAAATCTGGGGCTTTTTAGCATATGTACTGTTCAACTTTAAAGTCCATGATTTTGTTTTTTTGTGTGCAGCTCACAGTTCAAGGTATTTCATCCTGAATTTTTTCGCACATACACTTTACATCATTGCATACATGTGTATTTTTTCAAAAAAAAAAATTGAAACTCAAATTTATGACTTTTGAATTGTTTTAAATAAAGGGCTCCATGGAGCTCGGTCTCCAAAATGCCCTACTCGTTATGTAGTAGGTAATTGACTATTTAATTTTGCTATGTATGATGTTAATGTGG